ATCTGTACCCTTTGGGGATTAGACAGAAGAACTGTCCAGTATTTTGTAATTCAGAATATGGATGATAAACATGATAAACGTATGATAAAAAGGAAATATATAAAAATTTAATAATATCTATAGTAACTTTTTAAAAATCTGACTGAATTTTACACATTTGTATTTATCAAATAATTATTTCACTCAATTTAACATATAATCGTTTACGACATCTGAATTGAGAGCGTAAGTTCTCACAGTCATCCTTTACCGCGATTTATCATCACATATGAACAGATATTATCATGAACACATTTTTCAAAAGTATATAATCTATCAATTTGAGAACATTAAAAAATCATCGTTAAATTAAAAAAATTCTTCTAAAATGACCCTGTTAATATGTCTCCTCCGAGGCGAAAATTGTGCATTTTTTTGATAAAGTCAATACAATCTTGGTGTCTTGGAAGTAAAATTTAAGCATATTTATTGTAGGTACGGCATCAAATGAGACAATAGATTAAGTAGAGAAATTAATAATTCTCACTGGCAGTATTGAATCTGATGTTGTGTATCCAAAATCCATTAGGTAAGAATACAAAGCAAAGCGATAAATATGTCAATATGTAAAAAATAACTTAATAAGTGATATTATTTATTCAACAAATTTTTTTTTAAAAAGTCACACTTTACAAAATTTAGCCATAATACTGTCACATATTTAGAGAGAGCAAACAGCAAGCCATTGTTTGTTTACATCGAACACCATTTTGCCCCAATGCAATGACGGAGCACTGTTTTGGGAGTTCGTTCAGACTGTTTATCACGATGAAGTACTCCCCTAGTTGATATTTGTACATGTGCGATGGACCGAATTATTTTGCAAACCAAAATGGCAGTATAAACAGACGAAATAATCACCAGAACAAAATATAAAATAAAATGTGTGCAATGGCATTATGTGAATTAAAGAATCAAAGTACCATCATTTTTTGCGGATGATTGATGGGTACCCTTCAAAATTATAGAAAGAATGGCAGAGTTCATGTTTTGTTATGGGGAATCCGAAATATATGTCCATTCAAAAGTAAAATAGGAGGTGCACAATGACACTATTTTACAAAGAATGTGACTGTGAAGTTTCAATAAAATTTAATCAGTGGTGTAAGAGGAGTTGCGGATAAAAGATGGGTTTGCCAAAGCGTAACAGACGGATGGACATCCTGATGCTAGATGTAGCAAAGAAACGGGTCTCAAATTCTAAATAGGCCTATACAGTTAACTTAATACCAGTGGACTAGAAGATCCAACATAAAATTCAAAATTAAATATAAATAAATGAAATTAAATTATTGTTACAACATGGTAAAACGTAAAACATGTGAAAAAAAATGCGACGACGTTTACCGTTCGCAGCGTGGCATCATTATAATGTTACTCCTATGTTCTAAGAAAATCATCATAAGGACCTTTTTTCGTGGTGGTAATCATTTAATGGCTGAAAATTATGTTGACTTATCAGATAAGATACCAATTTGTCCTGACAGATACTTATTGTCTTATGTTGACTTGTCAGTAACTTATGTCGACTTGTCAGTAACTTATAACGACTTGTCAGAAAAATATGTTTCGACTGATGGCCTATTATTTTTTAATGTTCATTTGTGTTGATTACTATAATTGTTTAAAACCTTTTTATTTGTAGTTTAATTATCAATTATGATCTATTTGAACCTTAATGTGTAGGTTGATTATTATAATCGTTTTTAACCTTTACTTCTAGGTTGATTATTTACCTATCATACAGAGATGAGCGAGTTTAAAATCCATCACCATGTCAGTGAGCTCATTAATTTACTTGGGTATGTCAAATATTAACTTGTATTTTAAACTACAATCTTCTTTTCCTATACACTAGATGAACAAATTTGTTTAATTTCAAGTTATATCTCAGAGTAAATATAAATAAATACTGCATGTATACATAATTTGGCGAATTCAAAATTAGTGCAATCAATGGATATGGAGTTTTTTGGAGTGATCATGAATTATAGCTACAAATGTTTGTGCCATATAGTCTATTTATAAACGATTTCTGAGTGGTATTTATGAATTAGCACATTCTTGTCCGTACCAAAGCAACTAAAATATGAAGCCCCCTATTTTAAGTACTACATTTACAGTATATCAGTATACAGCTCTAGATGGTATTAGTGAGTTACATGCTTTGTCTTTAACCATTGGTCCTGTCAGCAAGGCTAGTAGTAAAGATTTTACTGTATTGGTACTTTTAAGAAAAATGTTGGTCCAGAAGACCATTTTGAAAAATTGAGCGTGATGGAATTTGAAATAAGGGCGGTACCTGGATGTGCAGCTGAAGGTCACAAATACATAGAGAATGGCTGCATATGAGGTGTGTTGACAAGGATCAATTTAAATTCTTATAGCAAAGTCACAAAATAAGTCATTTGATTATATTTGAGACTCTTATTAAAGACTCTCTATTCCAATGAAGGAAACTTGTAAGATTGAAGGCTGTTGAAAATACCGTATAAGTGGAAATTTTAGCGAGACGCAAATTTAGCGATTTGTCCTAAAAAACTGGTAATTCATTTTTAGCGAGATGTTATTTTAGCGATTTTAGAATGCACATGAAATAAGGTCATACAAAAAAAATTTAAATAATTTTTAGCGATATTCAATTTTAGCAATCTCGGCGTCCTCGCTTATAATGTCAAAATAAAATCCTCGCTAAAAATTCTACTTATACGGTAAAAAATGAAATCTTGGTGCTGTTATTCATATGAATCTCTCAACGTTAAAATAAGGTACATGTATCTGGTCTGACAAAGCTTTGACTGGTCTGAAAGAACATCTGACGTTGTCAGACCAAACGTCTGAGGAACACTATAGAGTTTTCCTTAGGAACCGGCTACCGGCCAAATTGTCCGCTTCAATTGACAAAAATGCCATTTTGAAATAAAAATTTGTTGTAAAGTCCATAGATTCTGTTCATAAAACTCAGCCCCTAGACGGTTACAACTTTACTTTGAAAAAAGGGAAAACATTGAGGAACACTTCAGGAAAGAGAATTTAGTCCAAAAGCATTAAGATTCTTGATTATTTGATTCTGTGTAACCTAACATACATTTTACATGTATTTCTTTTTATCAGTTATAAGTCAGCTAATGAAGGAGCAGAAGTCTACACTGATATTATGTTAAAGAACACGACTCCCTACATCACAACGCAGATATTTAAGAAGTAAATAATGTTATACAGGGCACATGGTGTTATGAGTGGCAATTACTCTGCAGGCATATTCCATGATGTGTGCTAGTGCCAAATAATCATTGTTTATTACTTATATTTGCATTCTTTGCCAATGGATTGATCATCGTCATGAATCAAGAAAATCAGAAAGCTATTCTTCATATAAAGATGCTCTTGATTTCGTAAATTCAAGAGAAATAAGCTCAGAGCTAATAGCCCTGATTTTGTCTCCATTTGTCCCACCTTTCATCTGTTTTTTAAACCAGAGACCGGTAGATTTATGTAAAAAAAAGTATTTTTACAATTACGAGGGTTGTTCAAAAAGTTCGTGGACAACTGTCATATCTTTTTTATTTGACGTCATATGTTATCCAAATGTGGTAGAAATAATTTAACAATAAATCCAAATGATTTGTATTAATTTCTTTAAAACATTACGATTTATTCAAAACATCCAAATTTTAAAAATGCAAATATCGGATCGCGGAGCAGGTAAAAATTTAGTAAGTTACAGACAATGCTCTCAATGATGTCTGTAGTCATATTCTCTGTAAAATGGAGGAAAACGAAAAACAACCTAGAAATTCAAATTAAGAATTGTTACATCAATTCGTGTACCAAAATATTGTTTTATATTTTGCTTTGTTGAAAAGAAATCAATTTGAGAAGATAAGTAGTCCTTAATGAAAACGACAAAAACGATGTCGTTTTAGAACGTCACGGAGCAGCGAATAACGATTCAGTTTTGTGTTTTACTCAGGAAAAATCCTAAATAAACACTAAAAATGTTGGGGGAATAAAAAAAAATATGTCTCAAACAAGTAATGCATATGTGTCACAATAGTACAGGCAGTATTTGAGTGACAGAGACTCTCTATCGGATGAGGATGATCTGTGAAGAAACGATTTAACTGTAAAAATCTTAACAAAACTTTAAAAAGTTGGAACGTCAAGGAAAGACATAGGCACTTCAGAGATGCTTATCATGTGAAAGCAGAGTTAATTCATAGAAAAAATTAAAACTTTAACAAAGGAAATTATACAAGGAGAGGAATTCTTAAAAAATAAATGTCAAGCATTAGAAAAAAGATTTAATGAATGGGTATTGTATTATACTGTGTGAAATGAATAGGGATAGTATTTTGTAGAAATTTTCGACGCTATGTTTTGACGTTACATTGCCGTTAAGTGTGCTCCGCAGGTTCAAAACATGTTCATTTTAAAATGAAGTAATATGATTTCTATTGAATCGAATGAAATGAAATTTCACACAACAAAAAAAATATTTTTACATATTATACTGTGCCTATTTTAAATTTCTAGTGATTAATATAAAGATGATTAACATCGTCCACGAACTTTTCGAACAACCCTCGTAGTAATTTCATCTCGGACAAAGACATTTGAAATGAAAATAAAAAGTGTTACAAAAAGAACACCACATCATACATCAATAAAGATTTTAAATAAAACACTCCTCCCTATTTTGTTTTGTAATTAGTCTAGAAAAAAACCCTTTTAGAATATTACCACTTATTGATTGGGAGATTTGTTAATTAATTCTGACTTTAACCATTTATTAAATACAATTACTTGTATGTAAGATTATCACTGATTTTAGTGAGTTATTTGAATATGTTGAAATATGAAAAGAGTGTTTTTCGTCATCAGATTTCACATTCATACAGTTCTGATTTATTTTAACATTAATTACATTAAGTTTTTAGCTCCTGTAACAATTCATTAATTTGTTTTTACATTTTAATGCAATTCACAAGTACTTGAATTTTTATTCACAACTTTATTTCACTCAGCCACAGAGATTAACTCAGACACAAACAGTTAATGTATACACGTTGCTTACATGTATTTGATTTTCTTCACTTTACCACTGCTCCACTCAGCCACAAAGAGGTTGTCTCTGGTGTCTACACATAAACCCCATGGAGCCTGTAGATCACAGTTATTAATGTAACGGAGGAACTGTCCGTTCTGATCTACAATGTGGACACAGTGGTTGTCATGGTCTGCTGTCAGGATCTGACTCTTGCTGTCTGTTGTGATGCCATACGGATAGAATGATCCCTTGGTAATAGAGGGATGACCAGTATATCTGAATCTGAGTTGTCCTGCCTGATTAACCACCACAACTGCATGGGCTAAATAGTCAGCTACACAGATATCTAGGTTCCTGTTCTCACTGATGTATATAGTACAGTCAACAGATGAATACAGAGGTTTATTTTCACTGTCAAACTGAATGGTTTGTTTCTCTGTGGAGCCAGAGTAACGGCCAACTTTTGATTGTTTATCATCAATACTGTTCATGATAACCAGGAGGTCACCAGAGGAGGTATTACAGACACCTTTAGGTTTCCACCTCTGTAGTCTGATCACTTCCTGTATCTGGTCATTCTTCACTATGTTTATAGTTCTTCTCTTAGGGTCAGTATAAAGTAGATCTCCATTTCTTGTCACTGCTATGTCACGAGGACTGTTCCCAGACTTGGTTTTTATTGACTTCAGTAGTTTCCCCTGGAGGTTGTAGAGTTTCATGATTTTGTCTTCTCCACATGTCCAGATTCCTTCATCTCTGAGACAGGTAACACTGTATGGACTATCATACACAGTGTCTATGGTGGTGATGAGTTCTGGTTCATCAAGCAATGGTTTGACTTGAGGACAGGATACAGCTTCTGGTGTCTTCATTGTGTAGCCATGTTCTTCCGTTGTAATGAATAATGCTGACAGAGAACCAAACATTTCAAGGAGTTGTTCTGTGTTGATCTGATGAGGAGAGAAACTTGGTAATGAAACATTGACTTTAGGGGGTAATCTTCTGAATTCAGCATTCCTGGATTTGTACACAGAGGTTAGGGCTTCATCATTAGAGTCCAGTATTTTCTTCAGATCAAGTATGCACCGTTTTACATCAGAAGTAATCTGTTTGATTTCATTTTCCTGTTTATTTAGAGCAGCCAGGTGTTCAGTTTTCATCTCATGAATTTCAGATTTTTGTTTGTTGACTATGACGTTAATTTCTTTGTGCCAGTCTTCTCCTTGTTTGGTGACAGCTGTTGTCAGTTTCTCATAATGTTTATCCAAGTTGACTTTTTCAGAGTTTAAATCTGAAGTAATTTCATCCAATGTTGGATAGATTCTTTTCTCTATATCTTCCAAGTCATTTTCTAAATATTTTGTTTTAGAACTTAATTTCTGCAGAGCATCAGATAAATCGTGTCCTTTATGTTTTTCTGAGGAGATGCAGGTAGAACAGACAGGAATGTCACATTTTTCACAATAAAGTTCACAGTGTTTCTGGGCGTGGTTTGGACATTTTGGATAGTTAATGTTAGGATTAGATTTTCTGTGTTTGTATGGTACAACTTTGTGTCTTTTAGAGGAATCAGAGAGGTGCTTTCCAACATAGACTATACAGAGGTTTATATGACAAAGTTCACAATGACTCTGTAATGCAGCTGTTTGACACAGGTCACAGAGGAGGATGTCTTGGGCACAGTAACGGGGGTCCATCACTGGGGTTTGGGTCAAACCAGTACATCCTGTAATGAAAAGACAAGTAAAGTTCAAGGTTTTTTTGGTGAAATTCAAAGACCGTTAACCAGTTTGGAAATGTCAGTAGGGAAATATTTATTAAAGTTGACAGTAAAAAGAAAAATGCTCTGTACACCTTGTTTATTTATGAGGAAGAACAAGATGTTTGCAATTCTTTCTCATTAATAGCATAAGTATCATCACAAGTGACACTTTCATGTGTTTAAATTAATGTCATGAATGACAAAGGCTAGTCAGTAATGTACTTAACAATTTGTTAAATCTTAAATATGATTGTCTGGGAGCCAGTCAAAGCGTTTCCAACTATAACCGTCCCGGTCAAAGCGTTCCCTGATTTTGGTCAAAGCGTACCATGATTTTGGTCAAAATGTCCCCTGTTTTTGGTCAAAGCGCCCCCATACATATTTTATAGAAATATAATACTACGAAACCGCCCCCAAATATTGGTCAAAGCGTCCCCTTATTTTGGTCAAAGCGCCTTCTGGTTTTGGTCAAAGAGCACCCTAACATATTTTTTTTTAGGGAAATGTAGTTTAAAACCATTGGTCAAAGCGTCCCCAACATTTGGTCAAAGCGTCCCCAACTTTTGGTAAAAGCGCTCCTAGTCATATTTTTAGCTCACCTGAGCTGAAGGCTCAAGTGAGCTTTTCTGATCAAAATTTGTCCGTTGTCTGTTGTTGTCGTTGTCGTCGTCGTAAACTTTTCACATTTTCATCTTCTTCTCAAGAACCACTGGACCAATTTTAACCAAACTTGCCACAAAATATCCTTAGGTGAAAGGGATTCAAGTTTGTTCAAATGAAGGGCCACACCCTCTTCCAAGGGGAGATAATTATGAATAAGTTAATTAGGCTGGGGCCACAATGGTCGATCAAAGTTTTGCATAGAGGTATATAGAGAAAATCTATAAAAAATCTACTCAAGAACCACTGAGCCAGAAAAGATGAAACTCACGTGGAATCATCCTCATGTAATGTGATTCAAGTTTGTTCAAATCATGACCCCCGGAAGTAGGGTGGGGCCACAAAGGCCGAAGTTTTACAAAGGGTTATATATATAATTTTGTTCAGATCATAACCCCTGGGGGATAAGGGGGGCCACAAAGTTTTACATAGGAGTATATAGGGAAAATCTTTAAAATTCTCCTTCTCAAGAACTGCTGGGCCAGGAAAGATAAAATTCATGTGGAATCATCTTCATGTAATGTAGATTTAAATTTGTTCAAATCATTACCCCCGGAAGTAGTGTGGGGCCACAATAGCCGATCAAAGTTTTACAAAGGTAAAAATGGGAAAAACTTTAAAAATCTTACCAAGAACCACTTGGCTAGGAAAGATGAAACTCCTGTGCAATCCTCAGGTAGTGTAGATTCAAATTTGTTCAAATCATGTCCCACGGGGAAGGGTGGGGCCAAAATGGCTAATCATTGATCAAAGTTTTATATAGGACTAGATAGGGAAATCTTTTAAAATCGTGTTCTCAAGTACTTCAAAGCCATGATTAATGATATTTTCTATGGAATCATCCTCAGGAAGTGTAGATTTTAGTTTGTTCAAATCATAACCCGTGGGGATTGGGTGCGGCCGCAATTGGAGATCCAAGTTTTACATTAAAACATATTTTAAGAAAATTAAGAATAGCAAAGCCCTGATTAGTGATACTAGTATTTACATATATGGAAGCACTTTCGGGTAGTGTAGAAAAAATTAAGCCAATTAAAGGGGAAAATCCCAAGAACAAAAAAAGTTTTGTTTAGTCATATTGACATGTAAGCATCCTCATATATTGAAGATTTAAATTATTTAAATTATGGCCCTTTGGGGTAGGGACGGAAACAATGGGGAATTAAATTCAAATTATTATGACGTTATATATAGGAAGAAAATGTTTTTAAAAAATCTTTTCATCAAGAAAAGCAAAGCCATATGCTGTATTAATTTGAAGGCATTCTCTCTCAAGTAGTATCATTTAAGTAGTATTACAATCCAAGCCCCCCCCCCCTTTAGTAAAATTTTCAGTTATGATCTGATTTTTGCTTTTTCCTAGCTGATTTGCTCAGGTGAGCGATGTGGCCCATGGGCCTCTTGTTTATGAATCAATGTTATTATATGCTTCCAAATATGAGTCAAAGCACCCCTTGGTTAAGAAAGTCACAAATAATAAAAATGTATATGTAAACATAAACCGTTTAACAGTTTTGATTATAATGAAACATTTATTTTTAAAAAGAGCTATCATCTTTTGACTGGTTGGAAAACTTCGTTTTTCTATAGAAATTGTCAGGGGGCGCTTTAACCAATATTTTGGTTCGGTTCTCTTTAAAAACTATTTTTAAAAAATGGGTAGGGGACACAAAAACACAAGTTGACCAATTCTTTATACTGTAAAACGAGAAAATTTGGCGCATACATATTTTTTTTTGAAACTAAGTTTTTCTATAAAAATATGTCAGGGGGTGCTTTTACCAAAATCAGGGGACATTTTGACCAAAATCATGGTACGCATTGACCAAAATCAGGGAACGCTTTGACCGAGACGGTTTTAATTGGGAACGCATTGACTGGATTAAGATTGTCTCTCCTCTAAATCCAGCATGGCTACCCACAAAATCATAACAGTATAATTTAAATACATATAGTATAATATAAAATGGCTCTTGCATGTATTTTAATTAATGTTTTTAATTACATCTGAGGTAATTAATGACAACAGCTAGGGTAATATCTTTTAACATTAAATTTCCTAAATATAATCTCTTCTTACCTCTAAATCCAACATAACCTCCCTGATAATCTCGAACCTCGTAATCTTCCTTGTCTTCATTCTAAATATTTACCTGGTTACCAGGTCCCGTGATTTAAATACCTGAGATATGTATATCTGCATTATCAGTTGGTGTAGAATAATATTATTGTTTGGGAATCGCAGTTATGAGATGGTAATTTTATCCTTCGCAAATGAAGCTTCGGGGGTTTATTGGATTGTTCTATATGTATCTGTCTGACTAGGTGTATGTAGGCATTTATTGTCTGGACATTATCTTTTAAACTACCAAAAATAATAAGTTCATTTGGAAAAGGTCACAGGGTATTAAACATGTTTAAGTATTGAGTTATTGATGCCTTGTAATAGCCACAGTTTTGAAATTTAAATTAAAATTCAGTTAAAGCAAGGGTTGCATTTTACTGAAAAGTATGTCCCAACTCTACTCAAAGTTATTTTAACAAGATTGAGGTAACATATTTTAGAAATTCAAAAGATCTTGCCATAGTCATTCCTTTAATGTTTATAAAATCAGAAAATTGTACTTAACACAACTGATCCTTCAGACCTGAGGGTATGTAACAAACCTACACTTGTCATTTGCACAGGATCAAGGTCATAGAATATGAGTGAAAAAAAATTCGTAATAATATTTTATCATAAAGTAGCTTCGAAGATCATACATGTATTGTCTTAGGTGGTTTAATTATGATCAAAGGATATTATGACATGACCTAAATCAAAGGTCATTTGAACAAGGTCAAGGTCACAGAGTTCAGAGGAACATCTTTGAAATGTATAATTCTAAATCACAGAACTTTTGTCTAAGGAGTATCAATATGTGTTACATTTAGCTCTATACATCTTTGTTTGGACTTGAAATGGAGCAATCGGCTATTCGAATATTCGGCTATACTAATAAAAGAAGTCTGACATTTACTTTTGATTTAGCGGGATCCACTGTACTTGGAATACAGGTGTTTGTGATTTTCATGAATCTATGTTTTATCCATAGATATTATGATGTGTTTTGTTAATTGTAGGTGTCTGCTCATCAGACAAAGAGAAAGATAGCCGAGTCAACAAAAACTCCTATTGAGATCCTAGTTAAGAATGATGAACTCAAGTCAAAAAAGTAAGGCCTTAAGTAGGATTTTTTTAGCTTTACTGGTCAGAAACCTAAAGTGATAATTCATTATAAAGGTTTCCATGGTCTGCCTAGCTGTCTGTCCATATGTAAACAATTTTCAAAACCCTATACTCTTCTTAAAGTTTTGATCCAATTCAAAATAAGACTTAAAACACAAGTTGACCAATTCTTTATACTGTAAAACGAAAAAATTTGGCGCATACATATTTTAGCGCAAACGCGAGAAGAAATGCATTGGCGCAAATAAATTTTAGCGCTTTCATTTGTCATTGAAAGTTATAAATGTGTTATTTTGTTTTTTTATCCACGTATTTGACTTTTTGGTTAATCAAGCACGGAAACACTATAACACTCCCGTATATAAGTAAACATTTCTCAACTTTACCGTGGTGTTTCAATCACATGAACGTGGCACAATGTTAATATTTATTAAAAAATTATTTTATTCTTATTTTAAATAAAAGAAATTGAATATTTACGCATTTTATCCATGTTAAAACAATGCATGCATCAACAGGTAATAACTCGGATAGACGGTAATCATAATCAGGTATTATCTGCAAGCTAAATTGCCATGCTTGATTGTATTGTTTACCTCGAGGCGATAGATGGTTGACACGCCGAGAAGTCAAACTTTAAAGATGCTAATGACAAAAATCGGGTAACAACTACCGGGTAACAATAGTTTAATTAAATTATAATTTGGCAGAGCTTTCTCGATCGATCTTACGTACCATGTGCATTGCTAATTCATCTAAAAGACACAACCTTGTACTACACAAACACAGAACTTCTACCCCTTACTACCCAAAATGTCCAAACCACACCCAGAAACATAACAGAACCTCTGTTTCTAAATACCCAAAATGTCTAAACCATATGCAGAAACATTGCGAACTTTACTGTGAGAAATGTGACATTCCTGTCTGTTCTACCTGCATCTCCTTTGGTAAACATATAGAACACGATTTATCTGATGCTCTGCCTAGCCTCTGCTTACAAATCCAGGAATAATGAATTCAGAAGTTTACCCCCTAAAATCAATGTTTCATTACCAAGTTTCTCTCCTCATCAGATCAACACAGAACAGCTCCATAAAATGTTTGGTTCTCTATCAGCATTATCCATTACAACAGAAGAACATGGCTACACAATGAAGACTCCAGAAGCTGCATCCTGGTCTCCAGTCAAACCACTGCTAGATAAACCAGAGCTCATCACCACTACAGACACTGCGTATAAATATCTATTAAATGTTACATGTCTCAGTAATGGAGAAATATGGACATGTGGGGATGAGAAAATAATGAAACTATACAAACTCCAGGGCAAACTACTGAAGCAAATACAAACCAAGTCTGAGCTGATAAGTGGCCTCTTGACATAGCAGTGACAAGGACTGGAGACCTAGTTTATACTGATCCTGATACAAGAACTGTAAACATAGTGAAGAATAAACAGAGACAGGAAGTGATCAGACCACAGGGGTGGAGACCTCACTATGTCTGTAGTACCTCCTCTGGTGATCTCCTAGTTACTATGGGCAGTAATGATTATAAACAAACAAAAGTTGTTCGTTACTCTGGCTCCACAGAGAAACAAATATTTCAATTTGATAGTGAAGGTAAACCTCTGTATTCATCTGGTACCTATAGCAAACACATCAATGAGAACAAGAACCTGGATATCTGTGTCGCTGACTATTTAGCCAGTGCTGTAGTGGTGGTTAATCAGGCAAGACAATTCCGATTTAGATACACTGGTCAACCCTCTATTAACAAGGGGCCATTCAATCCACTTGGTATCACAACAGATAGCCAGAGTCAGATCCTGATAGCAGACTTTGACAAAGACCGTGTCCACATCCTAGATCAGGACGGACAGTTCCTCCGTTACATTGATAACTGTGGTCTGAAGTATATATGGGGTTTATGTGTAGACACCAGAGACAACCTTTATGTGGCCGAGTGGAGGAGTGGTAATATAAAGAAAATCAAATACATGTAAACAATATGTTAAATAAACTGTTTGTAACTGAGATAATCTCTGTTGCTGAGTGAAATAAAATTGTGAATTCAAGTACTTGTGAATTGCATTAAAAATGTAAAAAAAAAAAATTAATTTTTACAAAGGAACTAAAAACTTGATGGTGTCATTCATGTTAACAGAAATCAGAACTGTATCATGTGAAATCTGACGATAAAAAATATCTTTTAGTATTTCAGCATATTAAAATAACTCACTATAATCTTATTTATATGTAAACGTATTAAAGAAATGGTTAAAATAAGAATCAACAAACCTCCCTATCAATAGATGGTAATATTTTAATAGGTTATTATTTTTTTAGACTAATTACAAAATAGATTAGGGGAGCGTTTTATTTAAAACATTAATAAATGTAGGATGCTATGTTCTATTTATAACACTATCAATTTACATTTCAAACGTCTTTATCCGAGATAAAATTACAAACTGTAAAATACTATTTTTTTATATAAATCTACCGGTCGGTCCCTGGTTAAAAAAAAACACATGTGGGGCGGGACAAATATAGACAAAATCAGGGCTATTAGCTCTTGAATTTATGAAATCAAGAGCATCTAAATATGAATAATAACTGTCTGATTTTTTTTATTCATGACGATGGCAATGAATGCTAATATAAGTAATAAACAATGATTAGGCCTTCTTTGGTGAACATAGTATTTTGAATAGCAATAGCTCTGCTGGCATATTTACCATGGTGTGCTAGCATGCATCATGGGATATGCCGGCAGAGCAATTGCTTTTCATTTAAATACCTGCATTTTGATGTAGGAAGTCGTGTTCTTTAACAAAATATCAGTGTAGACTTCTGCTCCTGCGTCAGCTGACTTATTACTGAAAAAAAATAAATGGAATATAAAGTATGTTACCTTACATATAATTTAACAATTAAGAATGATTAAGAATTTTGATGCTCTCTGTCTGGGCTTCTTTCCCGAAGTGTTTCTCTGACATTTGGTCTGACAACGTCAAATGTTCTCTCAGACCAGTCAAAGCTTTGTCAGACCAGATACATGTACCTTTTTTTGATGTTGAGAAAGTCATATGAATAACAGCACCGAGATTTCGTTTATTATTTTCAACAGCCTTAAATCTTACAAGTTTCCTTCAATTAGAATAGAGAGTCTTTAATAAGCGACATAATTGTATGACAATTTTTTTTACTTTGCTATAAGAATTTAAATTGACCAGGGCTCTCCATCATTTGAAATGTTACTGTGTTGCAGAGGTAACGCGAAGAACTCAAATTTCGCGGTATTTTCACGATCAAATTCGCAGCTAAGTCACTATTAATGAAAGTTACACAAGAATACATGCACACAATTATTTAAAAATCGCTAATTAGTTACACAAATGGTATGGTCGTACATAATGTTAAAAGTAAAAACACGTTGTGAAAAGCAGAGGAAATTCTGACCGATACAGTCGTACTATTTAACATTTTTGAAAGTAAATTTGCCGTGATTATTTATTAGTTTTCTTGATCGAGTTATCACATTACAAAAAAAAGAAACTTCAGAACAGTAAAATATTTCAAGAGTTCCTAGAATATGTTCAAAATTTTAAGCAGTTTATTTACATCAACTTAATGACTTCGATACGATGTTATATCTGACTATGTGTTAAAATAATTCTAGAGCCGTGGCTCCATAGAAAGACATATTTAAATATTTTTAAAAAATAAAACAATGTATTTTATTGCAACTACCAATTAACCCTTACATGGAAGTGTGAAAACAAATTATTTGTCTTTGTTCCGTCATGCGTAAAGTCCGGTGAGGGTCTAGAAGATAATTGATTACGCAAGGTGAAGCCCTATTGTTTAAGTGCTCTAACTTTAATAATT